GATAAAAATATACAAATTAGTCAATTATGTTTTTACAGTTTAATTCATATTTAATAAAAATTAGAAACAAAAAAAAAAAAAAAAAAAAAAAAAAAGCAATATTCCAAGTGAGATTTATTTTGTTCTGTTCTTTTTTTTTTTATTAGTGGCCTTTTAAGCTGCAAAATATAATTAAATATGAATTAAACTGTAAACACATAATTGACTCATTTGTCTATTTTTCTCAGAGACAAAGGCACAGTGCTAGTTTCCTGTGAAGACATTCTAAACCATGTTAAAACTTGTCCAGTTTGTAACTGGCCTTTAGAATTTGTATAGGGCTTATTTTCTGCCCAGAAACTGATGTTATTATGTCTCTTCCAGCTATATTAAAAATGATTTTTTTCTTATATGTTTACATCAGATCTAAAGCCCTCACAAAACATGAAGACATATTTAAATGTAATTGTTTTTGCTGATTCTCTGGACATGATTCTAAGGTAGATAAAATTAAGACTTCATTAAGAGTTGGTCATTTATCCAATGTCTATCTATGATCATTGTTGTCCACACACTGACTTAAGATTGCCTCCTCACGATTCATGGCACAGCATTGTCAACAATTTCAAAAGTGTTTTCACACTCTCATTTTGCTTGGATCCTCACTAAACCTTGTGATGTACTCAGAGCAGATTCTGGTTCCATCTGACACACCAATGTCACTATTCTGAAGAGAAGTTTGGTATTCTCTAGCAAAATCAAAAATGTACCCACCCTATGACCCAGCAATTCTAGGCATATACATGACAGAAACTCATGTGCAAAAGGAAAAATGTGTAAGAATATTTTAGAACAAGGACTGAAAAACCAAAACTCAAACTGACAATTACCTAAATATTCATTCTTTGGGAATATATACATTGTGGTATAGCCAGAAAATGGCATTTTATATATCCATATGAAAAGGTCACAAAAATAGAGCGAAAAAAGCAGGATACAGAAATACTGGCATAGTACACTATATGGGTAAAAGTTTAAAATATGAAAACCAGATATATTTTGGGGATAAACATATAGTGAAAAAATAAACTTGTTATCAACTACAGTTCAGTGACAAAAGGAAAAAATGGGGTTGGAATAAAATAAGAACTAAAAGTATATCTCTAACATTTTATTTCCTTTACAAAAAAAAAAAAAAAGGCAGGGGGGACAAAAGAAGGAGAAGGAGCAGCAGCAGTGTGGCTTGGGAGTCAGACATACTGATTTAAGACTCCTATAGGACCTTTCCCCTCTCTGGACCTGTTTCATACTCTGTACAAATGAGGAGGTAGACTAGATAATCCCAAGGCCCGCACAGCTCTTAAATTCTGTTGTTCTGACCTTGCCACCAGTCCTTGTCTGTATATGTTTATGTCCTTAATTTCCATATACCCAGTTAACTATCTTCTATACATCTAAGTAAGAAATTGGCATTTCCTCTCCTGGTACAGAATGTTATGGGAATTAAAAAGAAAAACAAAGAAACATATTAGTTAAAATCTTTTTTTCCTTTTTCAGTAAGTGCCAGAAAGTGAAAGCAATATATTGGCTAATAATACTGGAAGAAACAGAGGGAAGAAGAGGCCTAGAGCCTCTCTAAATCCACAGATTCAGGATGGGCACAATGGCTCATGCTTAGAATCCCAGAACTTTGGGAGGCCAAGGCGGGCCAATCACCTCAAGTCAGGAGTTCAAGACCAGCCTGGCCAACACGGTGAAACCCTGTCTCCACTAAAAATACAAAAATTAGCCAGGCGTGGTGGTGGCCGACACCTGTAGTCCCAGATACTCTGGAGGCTGAGACAGGAGAATCACTTGAATCCGGGAGATGGAGGTTGTAATGAGCCAAGATCACACCACTGCACTCCAGTCTGGGAGACAGAGTGAGACTCCATCTCGAAAAAAAAAAAAAAAAAAAAAAAAAAAAAATTGATTCAAATGTTATAATCATGAAGTTTTTGCTTGTTTCATTTTGTGATTGCTTTTCCCCCTGTTGTACCTTTATTCTCATGCATATCTTCTCTATATACTTTCAAAGGTGGCTAGTTACAGGTCCAGGTTTATGACATTGTTAATGTAAACTTTAAACTACCAATAGATAAAAAGTTCCTCCACTTCAAATCCCAAAAACTACAGCTCTACACTCTCTTATAATTCCTATCATGGCATAGATGAGCACTGCAGATATTAAACCGGTTTCTGGATTTTATACTTATTTCCTATCTGCATTTTCCTACAAGAATAATATTCACTCACTGACTTATGATAACATTGTTTTACACTTAAATATCCCATTACACCTCACAAGTGTTTTGTTGTTCATTATATGACTAGAGCATCACAAAAAGCCTGTGAGGTGCATGGCTTATCAGTACTATATGCCACCCTCAATTACCTGTGCCTTTCATTTTGTTTCAGGAAATAATGGGTCCAAAAAGAAGAGAAGTTGACTGATTTCCTCATGTCTCACAGGCAATAGATGGTAGAATCGGAGTAAGAAGGTTCTCCAGTATCTGGTGCTTTCCCCTGAATTTGTTCACAATGTACAGCTCAGTGATGCCTGAGAAAACATCTTTGTTGTCCTGAGGCTGGCCAGAGATAGACATTTGACTCCATGGTTACTTGGAGAGGTGGTACATCCTCTTAGGGTAAATGGGCTCATGCTGGAAAGCACCACGGACCACCCAGGATCATGACAGCATTCCCAGGGTCAGAAGCAACATATGGAGAAACCCCTTATCCTGAATGCATCTAGGTCAGGTTTGAGCTGTAACTCCTGCCCAGATTTAGGGGAGCTAGAGCAGAAAGTTTAATGTCTGATATTGGGATCCCAAGGTTAGAGTTCCAGCCCCACTGCTGATTGGTTGTAGAACCTGGGAGACCTGCCACTTCCCTTCTCAGTTTCTTTTTGTGAGAAAGGGGAGGCAAACATCTGACCTCACAGAAGCACTGAAAGTTATCATCTGAAAGAATGGCCATAAGATTGTTACTGTCACCTCAGTTCTCTTCTTCTCCATTGCTTCTGTGGACTCTCATAGCAAATCCCTTCTAATTTGTCTTGAGAAGAAAATACCCAGGGCCAGTATTGCTTCTCTTAGCCAGCCAATTAGTCAAAAAAATACTTTCTGATGTCCCAGAAAGAAGCTTATCTGTGCTGGGCAATGTCTAGGATATGGAGAGGAATTCAACCACACAGCTGTTGCCTTTGAAGAGATCACAGAGAAGCTGTCATTCTGAGGGAACAGGAGGTAGCAGTAAATACTGTAACAAAGGGATAAAGGATATAAGAATACAAAGGAGCAATCAACTGACCAAGCTGTGGCATTAATTAAAGACTTCAGATATGAAACGTTTAAGTAAGTCCTAAAAAATTGAGCATGTTTTCACCCAGGTAATGCAGTGAGAGGAAGCGCCTTCCAGACAGGAGAAACAAGTACAAAAACCAAGAGACTTGAAACAACTTGGACTGTTGAAGGAAATGGCCTGAAACATAAGAAGCAGGAAGTAGTAGTAAATAGTGCAGTAATAAATAGTTAAGCTAGAAAGCTGGAAAGCAGCCAGATCATGAGGGGCCTTGCATGCTGGGCTGAAAAGTGGTCTTCATTCCAGGCAAATTATGTAATGCTGTCATGCAGTTCAGTAGCCCCATTTGTCATGCAAAATTACAGACTACGTTTCCATTTCGTGAAACTGCCCACTTTAAAAGGCAACATCAATTTCAGACAATACTGATATGTTAATATTTATTCCAAAAGCTGCCTTTCCTTGTGCAGGGATAGTTTTCAACAATCACTCTTGAGACATCTGCTTTTCGTGCCCTGCAGCTAGTGGTACTCATGTGTGCAGGGCACTCACATTTTAGTGAATGAGGGGAAAAAAAGCGAGTGACAGGCAAGGAATAAGAGGTGAGGTTTAGAAAACTTTGGGGTTCTCTACCCTTCTCCCAACCATCCCACTATTCTTCAATTCTTTTCTCTCTTCCCATGCAGAATGGAATCTCCTAAGAAACAATCACACTCTCACACAGGGTAACTAATAGTATTCCAAGTATCTGAGGATTGGAAAGAAGTGGGCCAAGAACCATTTGAATTACTGTGTGGGTGAACCTGATCGTGTGTGCACGATGATTTGTCTACTTCAGTGTTTAAGCAAGGGGGGGCCCTAAAGCCAACGAACATCCACAGTAATTAACAAATATTCAGCAAATAATAAATAACAGATGTCTATGGGAACCAACAGTTTCAATAGCCCTGGGTGAGTGGGATGAGCAAAGGCTCTGCAAGGTCAGTACTATGCTAGGGTGGGGCTTGATTACTGAGGACCCTGCTGAGGCCACCTGCACCAGAAATATTTTGTGTTCCATAGGTAAACGCTGGTAAGAAGAGGCAGATCACTGAATGGTAGCATCTGGGTAGTGCTTGGCTATGTATGTGTAATACAGAGGACTGATACAATAGAGCTGTAGGTTAACTCGGGCTCTCCTTTCATTGGTCCTGACTTCCTTCTTTTATTTTAGTTTTTTAGAGATGGAGGTCTCACTATGTTGCCCAGATGGGACTTGAACTGCACTCAGGGATCCTCTCACTTCAGCCACCTCAGCAGCCGGAAATACAGATAATACACCAGCACCGGCCTCTAATTTCCTTCTGTATGCGTAGTCAACCAAGTTTTGAACTAGGCTTTCAGCAGCCTACCTCCCTTCTCTCCTGTTCATGAAGACACTCTTTGTAACACTTCCACTTGTTTTCTGCTGTGTTATAGGGTGGGGACAGAAAATTTAAAAAAATAACCTCTTACCTTCTAGGTGTTTGCTGTTGGTCTGATGATCTCATTCATAACATTGGGGTGGGTTGAAAGAAACCATATTGTCCCTCAAAATCTTTCCAGCTTTAGAGACGTCTAAGGAAGAAGTGAGTTGCTGGTGCTCAGACTGGTGGACACATGACTTTGATACAATGAAAACAAAGTCATGTAAGGGTTCTTGGTGGTAGGCAGGTTTATTCAAAGGAGCTGAAAAGCAAAAAAAGTATAGTGGAGGAGCTGACATTTGAGATTAAGTGAAAAAAAAATTGTCACAGAGATTTACGAGGCAGGACAGAGGCTGAAAAGGACTTCCAGGACATTACACTCTTCGTTTACCTCCTACCTCACTGGTAGTGACTTCTCTGTCTCTCGTTTGTGTCTCCTCTTCTCTCTGATCACTTTAAGATCCAGGGCTCTGTCCATGGTCATCTGTTGTTCTCTATGTACACCCACTCCCTAGGGTGATCTCATACAGTCCCACGGTTTTATGTATCATTTACATGGAGAAATTTCCAACTTTTATATCCAGCTTAGCCAGACCTCTCCCATAAACTGCACACTCATATATCTAACAACTGCTCAACAGCCTTACTTAGATGTCCTAAAAACACCTTCAAACTGAACTTGCCCAAAACTGATGTCCTAGCCTCTCCTCTTCCTAGCACCCATCCAAACCACAGCCTTCTTCATCTCTATCAGTGGCAACAACTCCATCTTCCCAGTTGTTTTTTGGAGCCATCCATGACTCCTTTCTTTCCTTACATTTCACTTGTAGTTTGTGAGAAAATTCTACTTACTCTTCCTTCAAAATATACCCCAAATTTAAATATCTCTCACCACCTCCATTGTTACGTCTCAGATATCATCATTTCACACACTGGATACTACAATACTCTAGTTTCCCTGCTTCCTCACTTTCTCCCCTACAGCCTGTCCTCAAAACAGCAGAGAGATTTTTTAGAAATATAAGTCAGGTCAATTCTCTACTGAAAATCCACAGTGGCTTTGTGGACATGGGATACAACACCCAGGTTATACTTCAATGATGAACTTATGTGGCTTCAGCTCTCACTCTTTAGATTGCCTCAGCTGCTGAAAGCAACCTTGTCCAAGGCTATACCTCTTCCTGAGGCAGTACATATCCAAAGACTGATTAATATAGGAATTTAAAGGCCTGTAAATATTACCCCAACTCTGAAGGGCCATTCTAGCTCCACAGCTTCCGGTGGATGTGACTGATGCTGCCATTGAGTCTTTTTCAGAGCTTCACTTCTTTCTTTGTCTTCCTGCTGGTTTCTCATTTCTTCCCCAGTATTGACCCCAAGGGCACTGCTTAATACATTTTCTACAGGATTAACTTTGTTTCAGGGTCTGTTTCCTGAGAAAACCCAACTTGTGATAGGCTCCCCATTTCATGCAGAGTAAATGCCAAGTCTCTACAATGCCTTATATGATTTAGAACCTATTTCTTCTCTGACTTCTCCTATGTCTTTCTACTTCACCTATGTTGCTACACCTAAATCAGTCTCCCAGTTAATCTTTGAACATGCCAAAGATGCATCTATCTCTTAGGGCCTTTCGTCTAGCAGTTCCTATTGCCTAGAAAGTTCTTTCTCTAGATATATGTTTGGCTAACTCACTTCCTTCATTTATTTGCTCAAATATTACCTTCTCCATGAAGTCCACCCCAATCTCCCTATTTAACATGATGACCTACCACTTATCTTTCTTCTTACCTTGTTCTAATTTTCTTCTTTTTATAACAGTTATCACTTTTTTGACATCCCACATAATTTACTTATTATATTTATTTTCTTATTGTTAGCCTCCCCTTGCTTGAATATAAGCTCCATGAAAACAGGCATATTTTGTTCATGAAATATCCCAAGTGCCTAGTATAGTGCCTGGAACAAAGTTGGTACTGAATAAATATGTTGAACAAATGAATGAATAAAGTGGATTTAACAGAAGGAACAAAGTGCATGTAGAAAGAGAGTGACAGAAAGGGAAGAATATGAACGAGTCATGGAGAAAATCACAGCTATGGATCACTTGGACTTCTCTCTTGGTGCTACTTTTCTTTATGCAAATATTAGCAAAAAAATAATAATTAGAGTATCACTTGGCATCAAGAGACCTAGTTTCAGTCAAGCACTCTTACTTGCTGTGTGACTCTGATTTCCTTTTTCTCTTTAATTTCCTTATCCGAAAAATGGAGTTAATAACACTCAGCTTCCAGTATCCTGCGAAGATTAAGATGTACCCAGAATATAGTAGGTGTTCAACAAATGTTTACTGACATCCCAACATCCTCTGAAGACAAATGATTTAAACTTATAATGCAAATGTCTTATAGTATGTGCTTGAAAATGTAACCAGAAAAATAGGTATACACATTCATTACATTATATATGAGCTTCAACTTTCTTATATACCTGTTTCATAGATTTGGGGTACAGGAAGAAATCTGCCCCATTTCCACTGAATCAGTGACCTCTTAGCCACTTTACTGGCTTTCTAGGATAACAGTAGAAAACATATTTAAGGCCGGACCCAGTGGCCTGTAATCCCAGCACTTTGGGAGGCCAAGGCAGGCAGATCATCCGAGGTCAGGAGTTCAAGACCAGCCTGACCAACATGGTGAAACAACGTCTCTACTGAAAATACAAAATTAGGCATGGTGGTGCACGCCTGTAATCCTAGCTACTTGGGAGGCTGAGGCAGGAGAAATGCTTGAACCAGGGAGGCAAAGGTTGCAGTGAGCCGAGATCATGCCATTGCACTATAACCTGGGCAACAAGAGCAAAACTCCGTCTCAAGACAAAACAAAACAAAAATTAAAAACTCCAAAATAATACCAGAAAACAATAGAGATATAGTGTTAGCTGTGCAGAACAGGAGAGAGGAATCACAGGCCCTAGGTCTCAATGTCAAACACATTACTGAATTAATAGCTATGAATAAATGGCATCAGCTATTCCAACCTTTCAACTTTTTTTTTTCTCTCTAGAACACTCCTTCCTCAAATCATTGTATGAGCTGGCTTCTTATAATTTAGTTATTTGCTAATATCCCATCAGGCCTTTCTCTGACAACCTTTTGCTGAAGTAGTGCCCTTATTTCAGTTATTCTGTATCCACTGCTCTGTTTTTTTGTTCTTCATACAATTTATCACTCTCTGAAATTATATAGGTTATTTGTCTACATCTTTGTTGCCTTTCTCCCCTCTAAAAATGTAAACTCCCTGACAGAATGGACAGTATTTATCTCCTTCATCACTACTAGGCCAATCCATCAAAAAGTAGCTGAAGGAATGGATGAATGAGTGATTGCATTCAGGGTAATACCCTGCTCTCTTAACTGCCCAGTAATGTTATAAAGATTAATGAGCTCTCTGGGAAAACAATCTCAGTTCTTAGGAGAGATTAAGAGAGCTATGCACATCCAAAGAATTATTTAAATAATTTCTTTCACATTTCAGTAACAGAATTTCTAGACCTATATTCACTAGTTAAATGTCACTGGAGCATTGCTAAATATAAAGGTTAACCAAAAGGACATGCAGTCTACCCTATTGAGAACTAAAAAGAATTCACCTTTATTAAACATCTGTGCTGCACTATGTTGCATGCTAAGGATATAGCTTCTCATATACCTCTAAACAGAACAGGGCAAAGAGTGTTACTTTCACTATCAAGATGAGGAGTAGACTCACAAAGATTAGGTAACTTGCCCAAAGTTACAAAGCTATTAAAACCTGAAATTAATGTCCAATCAATCAGCTGAACTTATTATTATTATTATTATTTGCTTATTTCATCCTCCCTTGGGGAGCATGTGGCCCTAATATCTGTGCTTCTTAGGCCAAGATCAAGCATACCATCTCCATTGTTGAAATGTACTATTTGAAAACAGTGAAAGAAGAAAATAAAGCTTTGCTAGTTTAGTTACTGGTTTTGTGAAATCCCAGTGGAAAGAGATTGGGGTAATTTGGAACTCTGTATAACTGGAAAAGCCAATTTTTTTGCCCCAAACTAAGTGTACTGAGAACAAGGGTAAGGAGATGGAAGACTTATCAGGAAATAAGATTAGGGGCAAGAAAAACCTAATTTCCCAGATCGGTGTTTCCTAATCATTACTGATAAGAATCACCTGGGGTATCTTATACAGCTGCCCCCAGGTCCCTTCCCAAGAGATTTTGAATAATTATATTTAAGATGGGTCTCAGCAGTTTATATTTAACAATCACTCTAGGTAAATCTTATCAGGTAAGTACAGGAAATAATAATTCTGATCTGACTCAATTGCTACCTACAAATCAGTGATTTTCAATGTGGGAGCCCAGAACCAGCAGCATCAGTCTCATGTGGGAACTTGTTATAAACATAAGTCCATGGACCCCACCCTAGACCAGCTAAATCAGAATTTCTGTAAGAGGGTCCCAGAAATCTATAGTTCAACAAGTTTTCCAGGTGATTCTGATGTGTACTAAAGGTTGAGAGCTACTATACTAAATAATCTCTAATTATAGCCAATAATTTAAAAAACCCTCTGACTGTTCAACCTCCAGGTGCAAGGAGTGGCGGAAGATGAAGTAGAATGGTAAAACAGTTCAACCCCCAAAAAGGGCATCCACCCAAGATATGCCTCCAAGAGAGACGCTGTCAGAGAACACAAAGAGGTATTTGACCAAAAGAGTCACCCAACTGCCAGGATAGGTAGTCCTTGTCTAACAGGTTATGATATGTGCTTTGGACCAGAAACTACTATGTATTGTTTCCTATTTCCTCTCTTTTTCAAATGGTAGTTTTTATTATATTTCTCTGGTTATCTCCCCACTAGGGTATACTGGGTATGTTGAGAAGGGTAGTTTATAATTTAAATATAGGTGACCAGACTGCTAGGAAGATGGATCTAAAAATGGCTGCATATCGAATAGGGATCTTGAATTTAATGCTAAATCAGTAACTAGATAAGACTTTAGGTTTTTCTCCTTTGGGGACATGAATTTATCACACCTATGTGTGAACATTTTTGAAAGAGAATGTGTAGGAAGAAACGTGTCCATGGATGCTAGATATTCAAATGAAGAAGCTACACTAGACATTTGTGATTGGTGAATAGCATTCATTCTTCATTTCCCCAAAGCCCTTGATTCTATTAGAAATCCATCTGGTTCCAGGGAGATATACTCTAGGGCAGGGGTTCCCAACCCCTGGGCCACAGACAAGTACTGGTCCATGGCCTGCTAGGAACACCAGGTGGCACAACAGGGGGTGAGTGGCAGGTGGGTGAGCAAGCGAAGCTTCATCTGTATTTACAGCTGCTCCCCATCCCTTGCATTACCACCTGAGCTCTGCCTTCTATCAGACAAGCAGTAGCATTAGATTCTCATAGGAGCATGAACACTATTGTGAACTGTGCATGGAAGGGATGCAAGGTTACATGTTCCCTATAAGAATCCAATGCCTAATGGATCTGTTGCTGTCTCCCATCAACCCCAGAGGGGAGGGTCTAGTTGCAGGAAAACAGGCTCAGGGCTCCTACTGGTTCTACAGTATTGTGAGTTACATAATTATTTCATGATCTATTAGAACACAATAACAGAAACAAATTGCACAATAAATGTAAGGCATTTGAATTATCCCCAAACAACCCCCCTCCCCACACCCACCTTTTCCGTGGAAAAATTCTTTTCCATGAAACCAGTTCCTGGTGCCAAAATAGTTGGGGACCACCGCCTTAGGGTTTAGGGATAGAACACATGACCTTGCTAAGCCAATCAGTGTATTTCATCCATGGGACTTGAGTGATTAGTCAAAGTATCTGACCTAAGCCAGTTGAGAATACATCAGAGGACACAGGTTATCAATCTTTCTCTAGATTGGACTGCTGTAGCTGGAACTACTGGTCCAATTTCGCTACCATAAGAAAAAGCAGCCTAAGAATGAAACTGACACACAGAGGGAAAATCAAGAATCATAAACACTGAGCCTGAGTCCCAATTGAAACTATGCCTGAAGCCCATCTGAGCTCTGGATTTTTTTTTATTTATATGGATCAATGTTTGATAACTGTTTAAGCCTGTTTGAAATGGATTTTCTGTTACATGCAGGGAAGTTCTGTTAGAAAAGGCAAATCAAAGCTCTAAGTATGAATTTGCATATGGCAGTAGATGTGAGTGCAAGTTTAAACAGAAAAAAAGTAATTGTTCATTTCATTTCTGGATTATTAATTATAGTACCTTAACTGTTCCCACAGCTTTAATATATAGTTGGTTTTCATTTTAACTTCCCTCAGTAAAAATATACTGGCCTCTCTTGAGAAGTTCCTCTCACAAAATATATTATGTTCACATATATTTTACATTCTATTATCGAGAAAAATTTGACTGGCAGAAATTGTGGGTTGGTAGGGTCATGTAAGTTTTCATTAAACTGGGTTAGGGTTTGAAGGTTTGAATTAATTACACCTCCTTCCCTTCCAGATTCTGAACCAATTAAAAAATATACACAGGAATCAAATAGGGATTAAGATATCAGCTTTAATATATTGTTCAGTGAAAAAAGCAAGATTCAGAACAGCATGTATAGTATGCCACCATTTGTGTAAAAAAAAAAAAAACCTGATACACACACACCCACACACAATATGCTTGTAAATACATGGAATATCTCTGGAAGGATACATAAGTAACTGGTAACAGTGGTTACTTTTTGAAAATAGGACCAGCGGGGAACTGAGGCCAGGGGTGAGAAGGAGGAAAAGCGATTTACTTTTTATTGTATACCCTTTTGTACTGTTTGACTTTTACCACAGTCATGTGTTATTTTTCTAAAAAAAAAAAAAACCACATATTAAAATTGTAAAAAATAAAAATAGATACCAGCTTTATAGCTGATAGAGCTGGATTGGACAACATGGCTTGGACCTGAGGCTGAAATGAACTTTTACCACAAGTCTAAGGACTTTGGGATCCCCCCACCCCAAGGGGAGATAGTTGGGTCTACAAAGTAGATATTTACCCAACCATGTAGTGAAGGACCGCAGTCTTTTCCACATCTTGCTGTGTGGAACAAACTCAAGATCCAAGAGTGGCCTAAGCTGCCTATCCATTATAACCATTTTCTCAATCTCATCAAGTTATTCCTCCTCCCATGCATAAGACTGAATGAGTGGCAAGAGAAGGTGAGTGGAAACTTTCTTCCAAACATTTTTGAGAGATGCAAATCTTTTCTTTTTCTTGAGTCAGGAGCATGGAGAGAGGAAAAGGATAGATCCCCTACACCCTTGTACATTTTATTGTCTTAAGCCACAATGGTTAACACTCAAGACTCTGGTCAATAAACAGGGCTGTGGCTGTCTCCTTCTGGGGAGACCAACAGTATCTTAGAAAAGTTCTGCTCCCATCAATGTAAGATTGGTGAGCAGTTCTGTTTTTGCCCCCAGGAGGCTCTAAAATAAGTCAAAAATAGGACAGTAATTAAATTAACTCCAAGGCTACATTATACCCTAGGCTGAAAATATGATCAGAATTTTAGCCCTAATTTACAATTATGTCCAGCCATATTTCCTGACATAGCTGACAACAATTATACAATGACTCCCAAAGGTAGCATTAAAAAACTTCAAATAATACAACATCAACATAATGAAAATGCCTTAGTTTGAACTATATGACCTCACCCCCACCCCGTCAACTATTAAACTCCCAGGGGAAAATGACTACCCCAAATTAAATTTCTAATTCAAAGTCCAAAAGATTTAAAGTCCAAAATTCTGCCTTTCCCAATTTCTCGTTTTTCTCATTTCAGCCATACAGATCTTACAAAGATGTCTGCCCAGATATGGGGTTGCTTCAGCAGCTCCAGCCTTGGCTGTCTTCCTCTTGACTGGGTGTAGTTCCTTCAGGACCTCAGGAGTTGAATTAATCTAACCCCACAATTGCATGTCATACATATTTAAGAGTCCAAAGGGTCAATAAGACATAAGATTATCACAGTATCAACCTGACATCAAAAAAATTAGAAGCACACTAGTTCCCAGCCACTAGAACAGTTTTTTTAAGCAAATGTATGACCCCAGGACTTAGTACATAGGGCAATACAGACCCACATTGCTGTTGTCAGTGAAACATCATAGTAGAGACTTAGTGGCATCAAAAAGGAAAAAGTAGACAGATAAAACATAGGAGAAAAGACAATATCTTCTTTGTTTCATCCTCAGCAGGATGCCAATCTGTGCCGGTAGTCTGGACTCCATGACCTGTGAACTTAAACTAATTTGGAAGATATCTTGCAGTACAATCCCAGTATGATTATACTGCCTTGAGTCCCAGCCCCAAATGTGCAGAAGTCCATGGCCTTATTAGGCTGTTACTGCTAATGGAGCTTCTGTGAGAGCCCCAATGGGAAAGCATTGGTTTTGACCAGGTGCTTCTCTCAAAAACCATGCTTGTATTTCAGCTTTTCTTTCCTAGGCTTTGGTTAACCTCCACCAATGCCTCTTTAATAATGGAAAGCTCAAAGGCCCTTCCATTTTTACTTTTCTGCCGTAGTAGAACTCACCCCTATCTGCATATGAGTTTCTTAGGGCCAGCCAAGAAACAGGATAGACTTAAAAATCAAAACGATAACAAAAATCTATTAGATTTCTACCAATGCCAGCACTTAAAACATCATTAAGCCTACAGATTACCTACCACTGACTGTGTCCCAAGTCCTGCTGGGATACCATAATAGATGAGCCCACCAGTCTCTGCAAGGAAGCATAGTCTGCTTTCAGCCTTTCTTGGTTCTCACAAGTGCCTTGCCCACCTCATATGTTGGGACTTTGAAGTCTCCCAAGAATAAAATCTAAAACTTCTGAGTCTCTCTTAGCACAGCAAAGAAATCTGTATCTCAGCTTGATTCTAGGTTTCTGCTCTTTCATTTCTAGGTTCTCGACAGATCTTGCCAAGCCCAGCCTTTGCCCTGTGACAAAGAGTGTCCCTGTGACTGAGGACTCTAGCTAGAGCCTGGCTTAATGCTCCTCTGGGCTGAAAAAGACCACTTGTGCTAAGGTCTGCCTGCACAGCTTGTATCAGTTAAAACACACACCATGTCTGCAGAGCTATTGCAGACGAGAGGAGAGATCCTAATGCCACTGATGACTAAAACCTTTCACTTAAGTTTTACCGGAAATCTTGATCTCTCCACTTGGAGTTTGGTCCCCAAATGCTTGTCTTCTTATCAGTTTTGCACGGTTTCTCAGCCTATGCTTAGGTACTAAAATGCAAAGTAATTACCTTATTAATTCTAGAACAGTTGAGCAATAGGTGAAAGAACCAGAAAGGGAGCAAGATGTTAGCCTTACTTTTAGTACAGTTAGAATTGAGAATGCAACTTGAACAAGAGACCAAAATGCGTTTCCCACTCTTTCCCAAGTTAGATTTTTGAAGCTACCTGGGAAAGATTTGAGATTGCAAAGACACTTACCCAGCCAGTCACATGGGGTATCTCAGCAAGCTTCACACCTCAATGAGGGTAGAGTCCAAGTGCCAAAAAGACTGAGGTGAGAGGTGTTCAGCTACCTTTAATCTATTAACACCACCCAATATAAAAAAAGTATGAGCCAATGGATGTCAGGCTTTACCCTTCTCACTAATCAGTTAAATCAGTTAAACTGCAGAGAGGAACCAGTGCAAAGATTGGACAGATGGGCAAAAGGTTTCTTCCAAAAACATATGAGAGGGCAGAAGTTCCAATTTTTTGCCAAGCAAAACGTGCAAAAAGGGAGAAGATGGTTCTTACAAACTGGAAAGCAATCAAGACTTTTTGTGTCTACAGATTTAGCGTCTCATATATTTGGCAAATTTCAACATGACCTTTAAGATGTTTTTACCAAATCGTAGACATAGATATGGAAATCATCATCAAATTTGATGAAATACACAGAGGGTTTTGCTTCTACCTGATGAATGACCATGCCAGTTCTCTTGGAGCCATCGTCTTTGGCATATTCCACCTGTTTGCCTACCAGGCTGTCTATGACTTCTCCTGGCTCCCTCTCTGCCGGAGGAGAATCATTGGAATCTTGAAGGATGCGGAGGTCACCGTCTTTATAATCATCTAAGAGCTGGTACATATATAACACAGGATCTTTCTCATAGGTAATGTAAAACCATGTGTTCATGACAGGTGCCTGAGCTAAGACCATCCCCCTCCATTCATTTTTGGAACCTTCCTCTGTCTCAAAAATATGTTCCACTGCTTTGCCAACCATTATTTCTGCTAAGTGTGTATCACTGATTCTAGATGATGCAACTCTATTAGGAAGGACTTCAAGTGATGACACTCTTTCATCTCTGTGAAGTTCCAATCCATAAACACAGTCAAATCCATCATATTTGATAAGATACAGAGAGGGATTTACAGGTACCTGATCCAGAACGGTTCCCTTCCACTGTGTTAGAGGTTCATCTCCATCTTTCCATCCGTGCTGAATTCTGCAGCCCACGATGTTCCTCTGAGGCTGGGAGGTGGGTCGGCTCCTATGCTTCTTGTGTGCAGCCTTCCTCTTCATCATGGTAACAGACACACTGCTGTGTCCAGCGCCTGTCCTGGACCGGTGCCCTGCAGCTGCCTTTCCAAACGGGGTCTTCATGCCTGCAGGGAGGAGCACAGTTGCCAGGTGGACCGAGAAAGGAAATTAACAAAAATCAATGCGTAACACGGAGAGCTTTTTCTCCTAATCTGCGCACCCCGTACACCCACGCCTGTTTTTATCGAAAGCTACCTAGCAAAGCTGGAAATCAAGGCACCCTCGCTGAGTGCCTGCAGTAACCTTACTCCCCAGCTCAGTTTCGCTAAACTAAAGCAAGAGATCTGCGGTTCGCTGAAATGGGAAGCATTTCCCCATTCCCCTCTCCCTGCTTCCAACACTACCCGGCCAGGAGGCACAGATTCCCCACCATCCCGAATTGCGGGCCTCAGGTGCCCAAATCGGACACCTCGCCTTGCCTCCGCAGTGAGCCTATGGAGAAGGAATATCAGCGGGCGAGCAGCCCAGTGCTTGCAAAAGCTGGGAGAGGACGATCCGTAGGCAAAGAGTGTCTCTAATAGGGCGGCGGAGCAGGCGAAGAGAACCGTGGCGGCGTCCCTAGCTCTTGGCTCCTGCGTCCTCCGCCTTCCTGTAGGCGGTGGCGGCGGCGGTGGCGGTGGCGGCGGCCGCAGCCCCTCCGCCACCTCGGACTCCCACTAGTCGCTGCTGCGCCGCAGTCTCCTCCCTCTTTCTCTAGCGCAGCTTCCGGCCAGTAGAGAGGCCTCCCCTTCCTGCCAAACACCGCGTGGCGCCCCTCCCTCACCAACCAGTACCACAGCCCTGGGTGTGGAAGGTGTTCCTAGGCTCTCGGTACCGCCTCTTCCCCCAAACCAGAAGCTGTGGAGCCCACAACCACCTTTCTCTTACTTCATAGGTTTACCTCCTCTGGTTCGGGGCGCTCCCCCGCACCCCACCTCACCTCCACTCTGGCGCCCCTGCCTCATTTGCTTTCCACGTTTCATGAATTAGCCCTTTCCTTTCCCCTCCCTCCCCGCGTCCCCCACCGTCCTTTGAAGGGGATTTGCGGTAGGACAAGAAAAATGCACTAGTACTCAGTGTTCAGGCTGCCATCTTGACCCAATCTACCTAATTTTTACTGACTTGTCATTCTCAGACTTCGCTTCTTGAGGATTTCTTTTCTTTTCCCCTGATTGCAAAAGAATTTCATGCACAATATGGACACTGTAAAAATCATAAAATTGACATAAAAAGAAAATAATTAACTGTAAGCCGGCCTCTCATTTTCCAGGACTCACAGTGAAATAGTAACTCATCATTTCCTTTTCCTTTCTTCTAAGCTCTTACAAAGCTGGGATAACATTGCTTACGCACTTTCATGTCCTGCACATTTCTATATAGAATAAGCATTTGCTCAGGTTTTTATATATTTTCTGAGAACATGTTTTGTAGTGGCTTCATAAAATTCAGCATTAGGATTTTTCATAATTTTGCCATTGCCTCCTATCTTCAGACATTTAATTTTCTACTATCTATAAATTGTGCGTACACATGAATTATTCTGTTCACTGGAACAGAATAACCTAGACACTAAACTTATAACTCAGAAAAATTGCTATAATTAAAACAGGAATTTGTAAGATCATAAATCTGTGGAGAAAGACATTCTAGAAGTGATTCAATCATTTTTATTGTTACAGCCATCCTAGTGGTTATTAAGCGGTATCTCATTGTGGTTTTAATTTGCATTTCCCTAATGACTAATAAGGATAAGCATCTTTTTGTGTGCTTGTTGGACATTTGTGTATCTTTGGAGAAATGTCTATTTCAAATTCTTTATTCACTTTGTAATTGAATTGTTTGTACCAGGGCTGTTAATTTTTCTTTTAAAATTCTGGATAGAAGAACCTAATCAGATATATGATTTGAAAATATTTCATTTTGTGGGGCATCTTTTTATTTCGTGACAGAATTTTTGATGCACAAAAGTTTAAAACTTGGTGAAATCCCACTTATGTATTTTTTGTTTATTGCTTGTACGTTTGGAGTCACATGTAATTAAATATGGTCAAATCCAAGTTCATTAAAATGTACCCCTATATTTTATTGTAAAATTTTGTTTTTAGCTCTTATATTTATGTCTTTGACCCATTTTGAGGTAATTATTGTGTATGTTGCAACGAAGGAGACCAAATTCCTTCTTTTGCACATGGCTATCCACTTGTCTCAGCACCTTCTGTTGAAAAGACAATTCTTAGCCCATTTAATTGTCTTAGCACACTTGCTGAAAATCAATTTACTACAGATGTATAGGCTTATATTTGGACTCTTAATTCTATCTTATAGAATTTTATGCAAAAACCACATTTATTTTTGTTTATCTTTATGCAAGAACCATATTTACTTTTTGATTACTGTAGTTGTACACTGTGTTTGAAATCAGAAAGTGTTTTTGATGCACAAAAGTTTAAAACTTGGTGAAATCCAACTTTTTGTTGTTGTTATTATTTGTTTGTTTATTGCTTATTGCTGTATTTGGAGTCAATCTAATTAAACATTGGCAAATCCAAGTTCATTAAAATGTACCCTTATGTTTTATTGTAAAATTTTGTTTGTTTTTAGGATTGAATTTTAGGATTGTCTTTTCCTTTCCTGAACAAAAGGATGATTGGGATTTTGATAAGGGTTGCATTGACTCTGTAGATAAACTTGGGGAGTATTGTTATCTCAACAATATTGTCTTCCAATCCGTGAACACAGAGTTTCCAGAGGGGATAATTTCCCCTAACAGTTTTTTTTTGTTTGTTTGTTTGTTTGTTTGTTTTTATGAACACTGGGTACTTACAATTTATTTACGTCTTCTTTAAATTATTTCAGCAATGTTCTGTAGTTTTGGTTAGATTCATTTCTAAGTTACCTTATTCTTTTTGCGATGCTATCATAAATGGAATTGTTTACTGTGAAATTGTGAAATATGTATTTGATCTTTGATCTCCTTTCCTGGCATTCAGTTCCTAAAACTCTTAAAGTATCCTGAGCAATAAGAGTGTCTTTTGTATGCTAATAAGATGACTGATGATTGGCAGCCCCTAGATATCTTCAGGATGGGGGCTGTTCACCAGAAAGACCAGGGCATGATTAGAAGATGGAACAGAGAGGAGTTAAAGGTTAAATCGATCACCAATGGCCAATGATGTCTACATAATGAAGGCTTCATAAAAACCCAATATGACAAGGTAAGAGAGCTTCAGGATAGCTGAACACCTGGAGGTTCCTGAAGGGTGGCTCACTTGAACAGGGCATGGAAGCCTGGTACCCCATACCTTACCCAATGTGTCTCTTCCTTCTGGGTATTCATCTGTATCTTTTGTAATATCCTTTACAATAAATGGGAAATGTAAGTGAAGTGTTTCCCTGAGTTTTGTGAGCTGCTCTAGCAAATTCATTGAATGAGAATCTTGATTTACAGCTGGTCTGTTAGAAGTACAGATCATAACTTTAAACTTGTAATTGGCATCTAAAGTACAGGGCAGTCTTGTGGGATTGAGCCCTCATGATTTTTAAGCATTGATATCATATCCTGTCTTCGTTCAGGCTGTTATAACAAATTACCACAGAATGAGTGGCTGAAACAATAAATGTTTATTTCTCACAGTGCTGGAGGCAGGAAAGTCCAAGATAAAAAGTACAGGCCAATTTGGTTCCCTGGGATAGGCCCTCTTTCTGGTTCCAAATGGCTATCTTCTCACTGTACCCTCACATGCTGGAGAGCAGAGAGAGGAAAAGCTCTCTTGCCACCTCTTATAAGTGCACTAATCCCATTCATAGGGGCTTTACCCTCACGACCTAATTATCTCCCAAAGGCTCCACCTTCAAATAGTATTACACTGGAGATAAGGCTTTAACATATACATTTAGGGGACAGGGGCACAAACATTCAATCCATGGCATATCCTGAAATTTTACTGAGTTCTTTTAATCGTTTCAGTAGTTATTAGATTTTTTAGGATCATTGCTATATGAAATGGTATTATTAGCACATAAAAATAGTTTTACATTTTCCTTTCTAATATGGATAACTTTTATTCATTTATTTTCTTGCTCGATTGTCCCATCTAGAACTTACTCCACTACAATGTTGAATATAAATAGTGAGGGGGCATTCTTGTCCTCTTCTTATACTTAGGAGGAAAGGTTTCAGCCTTTCACTGTTGAATGTGAATTTAGCTGTTTATAAAATTCATTTATGTCTTTTATCTTGAAGAGTTCCCTTCTATTCCTAGTTTACAGGTTTATTGTTATTATTATTATGAGAGGGCATTGGAATTTGTAAAATGCTTTTTTGTGTCATTGAGATAATCATTTTTTCCCTTCATCCTATTGAGATGTATTATTTTCATTGATTTTATAAGATGTTTAAATTGGAGTAACTTAACTATAACATAAAATTACCACTTTAAGAGTACATTGTTGTGCAATCACCATTATCCATTTTCAGAACTTTTTTGTTATCCCAAACATAAAATATGTACCCATTAAAAAATAATTTCCTATTTCTCCCTCTCTCATTCCCTGGTAACCTCTTTTCCTTGATGCATCATACAAGTGAAATCATACTATATTTGTTGTTTTATGTCTGTCTATTTTCACTTAGCATACTGTCTTCAAGATTCATTTATGTTATAGCATTTACCACAATTTCATTTCTTTTTTATTGAGACGGAGTGTTGCTATGTTGCCCAGACTGGAGTGCAATGGTGTGGTCTTGGCTCACTGCAACCTCCACCTCCTGGGTTCAAGCAATTCTCCTCCCTCAGCCTCCTGAGTAGCTGGGATTACAGGCATCTGCTGCCATGCCCAGCTAATTTTTGTATTTTTAGTAGAGACAGGGTTTCACCATGTGGCTGATCTTGAACTCCCAACCTTGTGATCCACCTGCCTTGGCCTCCCACAGTTCTGGGATTACAGCCATGAGCCCTCGCGCCTGGCCAATTTTATTCCTTTTTAAGGCTGAGTAATATTCTGTTGCACCTATATATCACATTTTGTTTTTCAGTTCATCTGACAATAGACATTAGGTTTGTTTCCACCCTTTGGCTATATGAATGATGATGCCATGAATATTTGTGTACAAATATTTGTTCAAATCCCTGCTTTATTTTCATTAGAGTATATACTGATAAGTATAATTACTGGATCATATGATAATTTAACTTTTTGAGGAACTGCCAAACTGTTTTCCACAGTGGCTGTACCATTTTACATTCTCATCAGCAATGCACAAGTATTCCAATTTCTCCACATCTTCATTCACACTTTTTATTATATTTGTTTGTAATAGTCATCATAATGAATGTACAGTGGTATCTCATTGTGCTTTTGACTTGCATTTTCCTAATGATTAGTGAAGCTGAGCATCTTTTTATGCTTTTATTGGCCATATGTATCTCTTTGAATGTCTATTCAAGTCGTTTGCCCACTTTCTAGTTGGTGCTTGTTTATTATCATTAAGTTGTAGGAGTTTGTTGTATATATAATTCCTTCATTGAATATATAATTTACAATTTTTTTCTCATTCCGTGAGTTGTCTTTTCATTCTGTTGATGGTGTTCCTTGATGCATTATTTTTTTTTATTTTAACAAAGTACAATGTCCTTTTTTGATTCCTGTGCTCTTTGTGTCATATCTTACAATTGGTTCCAAAATCCAATTTCATAAAAGTTTTCCCTTATGTTTACTTCT